GAACGACACGTATACAGTCCACGTATCACCTATGTCCGCATTTGTTGACAACCACCAGGAATGGTAAGTAATCAGTTCTTATACCTAAAACATTAAGCAACGTGCAATATGTGAACCATAGACAACATAAACTAATTTAATATAGCTAAATAGTTTAAACAGTCAACAATTAAATAACTAAACGCTAAAAACAAATGCCAACCTAAATCTATAAATAACGTCCCCGTGTACCTTATGTCATATGTCAACGTAAAATTATAAAATTGTCTATGGGATAAATGTCGTCCCCTAACATTGAACACTCACCCTATACTCGATGGTGAAATAGCACACGAATATTTACCATAAACAATTATTTTCAACAATAGCGTGCAATCAATGTGTTGCCGTGTTGCAATTAGTATGGGGGGAGGTCTGTACAGCGAACACGGAAACAAGTGACATGCGAAGGACATATGGTCAAGCAAAGAATACGAGTAATTGTTGAATGTTAGTCCAAAATAGGCTAAAAAGAGGACTTGTTTTTTCATAAAACAAAATAAAATTAAAGAGTTTATTTATAGTAACATAGTCTTTATGTTGCCAGATAATATGTGCATTTATCCCGCTTTGTAATAAATCACACGCACGTTGTTTTTTTTTACTCGTACACACATTAAATTGTCATTCCTAATGCATTGACTTCCGTTGATTGTGTGCCGTAAATGTATTGTGTTCGATGTTCGAGTATCGTTTTGGGTTGAAAATATTTTTATTGTCTATGGCACAATCGTAATCACAGCTAATGGACGGATCTGCGCTAATGTAACGTCTGATACAATGTCAATAGAGGATCGTGCGCTGAATTAAATTACAATGAAAATGTTTTATTATAGGGTTCTACTATCGAAGCACCTGGTAAAAACATACATGCATTTATTAAATTCTGATGAATTGCTATTTTAAATGAAAAATGTGAATAAAAATAAAGGATTGTTACATCGTCTTTTTTAATGATATTCAGAAAGTGTCCTTTTGCTTAGACCTGTTTTTTAATTACTAGGTATACGGTATAACCAAATCGAATAAAAGGAGAAAAAACGTTTCCATACTGTTCAAGTCAATCAAACTCCCCTACTATAGGTGCTCGTTTCTCGAATATCAAGTTACACAGATCGAGTTTCGTACAAAAGGTAACAACTCCCTCGCGACGCAGCTGAAAGAATAGTTTTTTTTTTTATCTTGTCACTTGTAATTCTATATTGTTGCTGTCCTGACGGTTGATACAACACTACAGACCTTCTTGCATTACTACCTATACCCTTGTAAATTACTTTATTCCTATTTTAATTGTCTCATTTTTGTGAACACGCAGTCCTATGTAAGACTAGTCATAAAAACAATTACAAATAATTAAAGATTTGATCGTTAGAGTCTTATGTTTTTAGCAAATTCTAACTTTGATTATTTAAGCACTTCTTAACAAAAAAACTAATCAAAAACGGCTTAACTCACTCACAAACGTGAGTTAAGCCTATCTAAATTAGGTTCCGATAATATCTCGAAAGATTAAACAATTGAATTCTTAACAATGTTAACTTCGCCATTTTAACTTGGTATTTTTAGTGTACCCATTGTTTATAAGACTGTTTGATCCAGGTTCAGGTTCTCCGGCCGCGTGCTGGGGCTGGCACTCGTGCATGGCTACCTGCTGGAGGCGTGGTTCACACGCGCGCTGTACCGAGCGCTGCTGCGGCTGCCGCCTGCGCTGGAAGATGTAGACGCACTCGACGCGCAGTTTGCCGCCTCATTGCGATGGTTGCAGGTAATTCTTACTGAGTTTTGAAGTTTCAAATAAATCAAGTGGGTCAAATTGCAATTTTTTCCTTTGCTAATTGGAAAACTCGATTGGAATCTCGCAAATATCGGTGGAGAAATTCCAAAGCATACAAAGTGACCCTTAACAGACAGATCTACGGGTTGTGGTGGTAGAGGACCTTAATAGCTATCGTTGAAGCGCTAAATATATTGCTTGATAGAAAATGTCCTCCTCTAACTTCAAAAAGCCGTTAATCTG